GCGCCGCCGCCTCACTCCCCGCGCCGCCGCCGCCGCCCCGGGCTGTGCCCGCCGCGCTCCTCCCGCCGACTGCGGGACGGGCTGGGGCCAGAGGGTCCCGGCGTTCCGGCACCTCCCGATCCCGGCCCCCCCCCGCCGGCCAGCGCGGCTTGGTACGGCCCGCGCTGTACGGCGAGCGCGGGCGGCCGCACTTCCCGGCGGCGGGGTGGTCCCGGCGCACGCGCCGCTCCTCCTCCTTCTCCACTGGGGGGAACCGCTCCCGACATGGAGTCCAGGAGGGCGGGCGGGACCCGGCGGGACGCAGGATGGGAGGGGCCCTTACCGGGCGCGGGGTTCCCGGGGCCGGGGTGAGGCGGTTTCCCCAGGAGGTGGGGGTGTCCCCGTTCCATCGCCGGCTCCCAGCGGGGAATTTCCCCCTCTCCCACCACGTGCTGGAGATGCGAGAGACTCCCTGCGCAGCCCGGCTTGGCCGGCTTAGCAGGGCACCCGCCTCCCCTTGGGGTTCCTGGCGGAAAAGGGTAATGCAAAGTTGTTCACTCGGAGTAACAAAGCGAAGTCGCTCTGGAGACTAAGTAGCTGAAGGTGTTCAGTGCCCGGGGCGCTGCGGGAGCGCGGAGCTCGCGCAGGTTCGGGCTTACGTAGCAATGCAGACACCACGGACTGAGCCGGGACTAAACGGGGACCTGCCGCTCAGAGAGCACTCCCAACTAAAAATATTAGTTTTTTGGTTTTTTTTTTTAAAAAAAAAGCTAAGAAAACGATGCATTTGCAGCATGTAGTGCACGTATCTACAGAGACGCGGTTCTCTGATAAACAGATACTTGTTTCGGAAAACTGTGTTGTTCAAATTACTCAAAACTCAAGTAAAAATAATTGGTTTTCCTGTTTTCAAATCAAGCCCTTGCCCATTTCATTTCCAGTACTTACAGCTTTTTCATTAAGCCTTAATGCTTTTTTCTTTTAAAATTATTTTTATTAACTCCTAGACATTTTAAACTCTTGCAACTTCCTCTGTTTTCTGCCTAAAGACTTTTCTTTTTCTATTCTGCTAGTTTGATTCACTTCTGTTTGCTGGGGGGAGGGAGGTTGTAACTTTCAGCTTTTGATTGCTTGTTATTTTCTAGAATTGTTTGTATCTGCAGCGCTTTCACCCTTTTGTAGGACTGAAGGCTCTTTTTTAGTGGCAGTGTTAGCCACAAGCTTGTGAGTTAAACTCTTAGAAGTTAAGATATATGCTGACACAATTAAATTATGCTATTTAACCATGCTGTGTGAATGTATTAATTGTACAACATCATATCAGATAACACAAGTTAGACAGCAGTTAATGAAAAACATCCTTATCTGTACACTACCCAATCATTACACAGCACATATTTTCTAAATTTCTGTTATATGAAGAACTCCTGTCCTGAGTTAACTGTTGAGAACTGGAAACATAGATATGGGAAGGGAGGTATTTTCAAAGTTAATAATTCTGCGTGTTCATCATGGGAGAATCATGTGCTGATTTTCTGGAATTATGAATATTCACAAATCCCACAGATTTTACATTAGGTACTGAGTCCTTAACTATTCTGCAAACTCTCTTCTGTAAAACTGCAGATGAGGTAATCATGATTAGGAAGAACATGAACATTCATTATTGCTTTTTATGTAAGGTATTTAAAAATTGTTCTTGGGTTCAAATGTATTTAGGAAATAACAATTTCTAAGTCCAAAAACTTTATAAAATCTGGATATTCTTTTCATGAAGTTTCTTTGTCAAGCCTGGCCAGAGAATTACCAAGGGAAAACACAGAACAGGATATTGCAGGAGTCTGAGATGAGCAAGCTGTGAGCATTACTGTGTGTGCTGCCTAGGTCAGCCTGTCACTCCCACAGTGCTGCCTGCATTTCCAAAAGAACAGAGAGGTTCTCCTACAGTCCATTAAGAAATAATTCTAATCTATCTGCCAAGAGCAAGACTAAAACTTGTGTGTGTGCACCAATGCTCTACATGAGTGTATGCATGATTTATGCAGCAGTGAGTTTAGTTGTGTTTGTTAGCTCTGTGGTGGGGCTGCTCCTACTTGCTGAAGCCCAGCTGCTGCTGAGGAGAATTAACCTGCTGTGCAGACATGCCCAAGAATGCCAGTGAAGAAAGCTGCCATTTGACAAAGCTTAACCAATCAGTGGAGTGCTCAGCTACCTTAGCCATGTCTTGATGCATTTCTTCATGACAGCAAATGTGAAGACCTACTTTAAATCCTGCTTGACCAGAGCCCAGTGTTGTCTTTCAGTAGTTGTAGCCAGCAGAGTCATAGATGGGTGACAGATGGAAATTCTGGAAGTTTTTGTAGGATGATCCTATGGACAAGTCCATTTCTTCTCAGTAACTTTCTATCAGTTCTTTATCAATTGTTGATTACAGTAGTGAGTAACACAGGTTAGTTTGTACTACATGAATATGCCACCTTAAAACTTTGCCACCACATACACAAATTTTATATTTCTATGATTACATCTGCTATCAAGTCTGTTCACCAGTATTGCAGTATTTCCTGAGTTACCCCTATTGTTTATATGCATTTGTTTTCTCTCGTCTGATACTTCTGGTTCTCTGTTTGCATTAACTTGTTTTCTCTTAAGTAATAAGTTCTTTTGGAGGGAGCTATCTACTTTGTTTATGTTTATGCTACATCTAATACTGTATTATGGTGGTACAGAATTAAAAGCAAGATAAATGAAATCAGGAATTAACCTTTATTTCATTGCAGCTATTTTTAATCTAGATTTCTATTGTGGGTGTTTGTCTTTCATGCGGTTCCACCTGGAGAAGAGGAGATTGAGGGGAGACCTCACTGCAGTTACAATTTCCTTGTGAGGGGAAGAGGAGGGGCAGACACCGATCTCTTCTCTGCTGCGACCAGTGACAGGACCTGAGGGAATGGCCTGAAGTTGTGTCAGGGGAGGTTTAGGTTGGATATCAGGAAAACGTTTTTCACCCCGAGGGCGGTTGGTCACTGGAACAGGTTCCCCAGGGAAGTGCTCACAGCACCAAGCTTGTCTGAGTTCAAGAAGCATTTGAACGATACTCTCAGGCACATGGTGTGACTTTTGGGGATATCCTGTGAAGGGGGAGGAGTTGGACTCAATGACCCTTATGTGTCCCTTCCAACTTGGCAGATTCTGTGATTCTGTGAAAATACGAGTGTAAACTGAGCGTACCTTTTGTGACTATAAAAATACA